GCATTTCACATTTACACTGGTAACAATTCAACTGTTTTGCACATTAAAGGCATATGCCTGACAGTAAGAAATGCCAGAGTCTGAGGCCAAAGTGACGCTGGCTGTGATGTCAACTCTAGTTGTGTGCCTACTTGGCTGGACCATGATTCTCATGGTTTGGCAGTGTTGCATTAATGTAATGTGGTGGCTCTATAATGATGTAATTTGGCACTTAGGTAATGAGGTATTCATCTTCCTTTTTTCTGATCTGATCTGGTCATCTTCCATTTTCATATGATACTAATTTTTGAATAATGACCTGATCTTGGGAACTTGACCATGTTGATAGGTGTAAACTAGGTGTATACCTCTACCTGTGTGCATATATGTATATGTAAAGCCCTTTTGGCACAACAGTTAAGCAGTTGACTGCTAACCAAAAGGTGTTGGCAGTTCAAACCCAGAACCTAGTCCTCAAGGAAAGACATGATGATCTTCATTCATAAATAGCCTAGAAAACCTTATGGAGAATTCTATCCTGTCACATCTGGTCTCTGTGAGTTAAAATTGACACAATGACAGCTGTTGTTATTGTATATCATTGAGTCACAACTGACCCATAGCTGAACCTCTGGTGGATTTTCAGAGACAATTAATTGCAAGGGAGGAGAATGACCATCCTTCTCCCACAGAGCAGCTGGTAGGTTCAAACTGCATGCCTTCAGCATTGCAGCACAGCTTCTTGCCACTAGGCCACCATATAACAGTAGTAGTTTGGAAGCAGGAGTGGCATCCACTTCCTAAATAGCATGTCTCTGAAAACTCTATGAACTTGGATGAATGTCGATAGTTGTAGAGAGATTTCAGGCCTTTTGTTCATAGGGTCACTATGAGTCATGCTCAACTCAAAGGCAATCAAGGACAACAGTTCAGTGCTGAAACCTTTGCCTATCAGGAGACACAAGTTCAATTCCCTGCCCCTACACCTAATATGTGGATACAACACTAAATTGTCAGTTTGTTGTACTTCCAGACTACATTGTTCTAATTGGTATGGCATTTGTTAGTCAGGTTGCTGTACTGAGATAACTTGTGGGTTGCTGTGAGTCTGAAAGCGATGCCACCAGTATGTCAAATGCTATAAGGGTTACCCATGGTAGACAGGTTTTAGTAGAGCTCTCCGATTATGGCATACCAGGAATCATGATTTGCCATACACTTCTTAAATAACAGGCCTTTGAAACTCTATGAATAGAAGGGGAACATGGATAGTAACAACACCTCATGTGTAGCCAACACTCATCTCTCAGTGGAGGCTCGTGTGTCACTGTGATGCTGACCAGACATCAGCAGAGCTTCCAGCCTGAGGCAGACTAGGAATGAGGTCCTGGTGAGCTGCTTCCAATAATGAGCCCAAGAAAACCCTACAGATCACCGTGGTCCAATCCTCAACGGATCGTGGGGTGGTTCAGCACTGGGGGACATTTCATTCCACGTGACTGGGTCATTATAAGTCAACAGCCAATTCAACAGTAGCTAACAACAACCACAGTATGTGAGTCCACATGTCCATGTACATTCCCCACACATGGGCTCCCACATGGACATACATACAGAAAACGCACACCAGAACTCGTGTGTGGACTGTTTTGTTATTCTGCCAATGAGGACCATATTTCCTTTTCTAGACCTTTAAGTTGGGTGTCAGCATTTAAGAAAAATGAAGCAGAGGTGGATGTTCTCTTATTATATGTGTTTATTCAATCAGTATTCTCCATTTCCCTACTGTGTACAGGGGTCTTATGTTGGTTACTGAGCTGGAAGATAAACCAGGGTTTGGCCCATCCCCATACGGTCACTGTGTGCAGGGAAAGGAGGGCCATGGCCCAGTGGGCACGTTTGTCCCTGTTGTCCAGAGTTAGCCCAGAAGCTACAAGCTCCCAGCAGGTTCCAGATTCCTCTCTGATGAAACTATATCACTCTCTGGATGCCAAGCTGCCTGTCTAGCTCCAGGTACTCCTATAGGTTTAAGTTCCTGGGGAGGCCTCTGGATGTCTTTGTCCAGACCTGAAGCCCCCTCCTCAGCACGCACAATTGAAGCATAAACACAGTCTACCTGGGAAGCTAAGTGGGCCTGAAACAGCAGTAGACTCAATCCTGAGCACCAGCTATCCCAGCTATGTGTTGGCCACTTTCTCCATGCGCCCTCCTAACACCTGGCTGTCCACCAGCCTTACAATGCCCATGCTAGGGTCATGTACGCTCCCTTCAGCCATGAGGGACCAAGCCTTTCACGTGATGGCTACTGTGATGCCAGATAACTCCCTGAGCTGGTAGGCAAACAGCCTGCCTGCCAGGGCAGGCTTCATGGGCACAGTGCCATGCTTAGAAGACCCTGGCTCTGTGGACACCATATATTCTCTTTTGCACTAGAGTCCTGCAGTTTCTGAAGTGGGTACTGCCACTGGCTCAGACCTGAGGTCAGCACCAATATCCCCTTTCTCTGTGCCCCATGCCCTACCCCTCCTTCATGCCTGGCACTGCCAGCTCGGCCTCCTGCCCCGGGCTGGCCCCGGCTGCTGAGATGTGGGTGGCTGTGGTTTCCCGGCGCCCACAGCGAGGCCGCAGCGTTTGAAGATGCTCTTCAGTGGCGTCCTCAGACTGTGTTCTTTCTGTCACCCAGCCCAGAGAACGAGGGAGGCACCAGGGAGGGAGGCCTCATTGGTACAGAGTTATTGATTCAAGTTCATACGCAGGCAGCATAGCATCCCATCATGACAACATCCAGCTCTCAGCTCTCTGTACCTCAGTTGTCAAATAGAAATTAATACCTTCTCCAGCAGCAGTGATGGGAGGATCTGTGATAGCTTAGGAAGCACCTGGTAGTAAGCCTGACATACAGCGGGTGCTTGGAGGGCGTTTTGTTTCATTCTTCATTAATTCAGTACTTACTGAGGGCCAACTAAAAACTAGACCAGCAAAGAATGAAATCTACTGAAAGAGTCTTCATAAAGTGGGGATCTGGGAGAAGCATGAGGAGAACAAGAAGTGGGGAGAGCGGCTGTAGACACAGGTATATTGTTGTTGGCGGTGTGTGCTGTTGAGTAGGAAGCGATTCATAGCTGACACTCCAGCAGTTTGTTGGAGGCAGAAAGTGGCACGAGAGGAGTCTGCTCACCCTTCTTCCAAGGAGCAGCTGGTGGATACCTGAAAAGGTCTAAGCAGCTTAATTACAGCACAGAAAGACTGGAACACATTTGAGTGTGTGCTGGGAAAACTGAGGCCCAGGCAGAGGACATGACCTGCCCACATCTGGACCTAGGAGTCTTGCCCACTCACTCTATCCCCAGCTGATACCCCTCACTGACAAGCCCTCCTGGGTCCTGTATTCTGAGGGGGCACTAGTTCTCTACTCAAAGGTGTGCTGTTTCAAGGCCTGCCCCTCAGGGCATGAGCTGAGGTTTTCTTGATGTTGTGGTGTCCACCACTTGGGTACCACCATCCAAACTCCAACCTTTTTAGTTACTCTTTATTAAGCACCTCTTGTGTACCCAGCACTTGCAAAATTTCAGTGAACATCCTCGGGACCCGCCATGGCAGACCCCAGGGAACAATCCGGGGCTCACTGCTTGAGTGCACCCCATCTCCATGCCTGGTGGCACCACCAGGTGTGTCCATGCTTCCTCTTCTACAAAGCTACAGGGACTCAAGCCCCACCCTACCGACCCCGCCCCCAAATCATCTGTCCAGGGGCCCAGCCCACTCAGAGAAGATTTGTCAAGAACAGATATGACACAGGAGTGGGGTTATTGGAAATGGAAAGTTGAAGATTGCAATGATAAGGGCAGTCTTATTGCAGTTCTGTGCCGCGGAGTCTATTTCCCGCTCACACCATGTGACAGAGTAGATGGGACTGCCCAACAGGTTTCTAAGCCTCTGCTGTAATCTGTACAGAGCAGATAGCAGATCTTTTTCTCCAGGGAGTCACTGAATAGGTTCAAGCCACCAGCCTTTCCGGCGGCAGCTGAGCACTTCAACTTTGTGCCACCAGGGCTGCGGTAACCCCAGAAGGGGATGTGGTTGAGTGAGCCTGTGACCTGAGAACTTTATAAAACTCCATCTGATTGCAATGTGGGGAAGGGGCTGCGGGGGTCAAGGGTGGGCTCAGAAGTGGAGATAAGAAGCATCTGCAGGGGTCCAGACACCTGCTGCCAAGAGCCTGGCCCCCGGTGGTGGGGGGCTCAGGAGAGGTTTAGAGGTAGACCTGGGCCTCCCTGCCTGCCCCATGCCCCATGGACCTGGAAGCATCCATTCCTTCCTTCCTCAATTTCCTGGCCCAGCCCACCATCCCCAGAGCTCTAAATTATTCAGCTCAGAAACCAGACAGTGAGTCTTATGTCTGCCCCAGACCGCATGACAGATTTTTTTTATTAACTGTCCCTCATTAACTCATAATTGCAATCATGTAACATTTAATAAAGGCACAAAGCGAGCCCCATCGCTGCCCTACGCTCACTCATTCATTAGTTAACAAGATGGAACGGCTCGGCTCATAAAAAAGGGGGTTGTTTAAAAAAAAAAATCCCGGTGAAATGGAAAGTAGGAGGTGATGCAAGCCCTGGTTAACAAAGGCTGAGGCTGGGGGAGGCGTGAGCGGGTGTGAGAGGAATAACCCAGCCCTGATAAGCCACAAAGCAGTGCCCACTGCTCCGCCTCCCCGCTGCCGCCTGAGTCAGAGAAGCCGGGGATGTGTTCAAAAATCGAGCAATGTAATTAGCAGGTTGCATCATGCTCCTCCATTAGAAATGACAATGGGCACAAAAAGGGAGAAGGGCGGACCGGGGATTACATGGGTAACCCAATGCCAGGGAGGGGGACGGGAGGGGGGGGGGCCACTGAGGGACCCCAGCAGCCTCTGCCTACTATGTCACGGGACAGCGACCAAACCCGCTCAATGCCGGCTTTGTGTGGCCTGGGATAATGATTTACACACTCGAGGAATCAGGAGGTGCCAAAAGAAGATGACCCTCTTAACCCCGCCATTGTCTGCCCTGCTGGAATGTGCAGCGCTCCCCACGCCCGCGCACCTGTGCACACGGATGCTGTTTGAGGATGGCCCAGGTGAGGAGCCCTCATGGGGGGCTGCGGTGATAAGATCTCAAGGGGCTGAACCGGGGGACACTGCCAGGGATGAGTGAGACTCAGCAAACAGAGGTGACCGGTGACCACCGCAGATCTTCAGGGTGGTAGAGTCGGGGTGATGGACAATGAGAGCACAGGCATGACCACCGGTAGATTGTGGGAGGCTGGACAAGACACTGTGTCCCTCTGAGCCTCCATTTGCCCACTACAGCCTATAGCTGGTTGCAGCTGAATGGATTCCAACCAATGTGTTACTGAACAGAACTGATTTCTACAGTCTTTATGGAAGCAGACAACCATTCATTACTTCCCAGGTGCCTCTGGGTAAGTGCAATTGACCAACCTTTAGATTAGCAACTGAGCACTGTCTTCCTTCCAGGGACTTTGAGGTATGACTAGGGTAGATCATTTCCCCATTCAGAGCCTTACTTTCCCCACCAGGCCTGGTCACGACTGACTGCGTGCCAAGGCCAAGCTATCTCCCCTCTCGGGGCTCAGTTTCCCCATTAACAACGAGAAAGGTGGTCCAGACAATCTTTTAAGTGTCTCTCACCTGGCATCCTTCCCTTCCTCCTTGATCAAACATGAGTTTTGTTTTTCTAAAAATTCACCAGCTAACCTGGATCTCATAGAACATGGAGACAGGACTACGGGAGACCACACAACATATCCACCTGAATCCATCAGAGGCCGAGGAAGCCGAATGCAAGTATGCAGCAGGCCAGGCGAACCCAGGGCTCTGTGGTTCCGCTCCCCAAGAGCCCCTGCAGACACACCCTCTACTTCCGCCTGGTGGCAAAAATTTGGCCTTTCGGTCTGGCCTTTTGCAAACAGTCTTTCCTCTACAATGTTTTCTTAGCAGCCCTATTCTTACACACAGGAAATAATCCCATTAACTTTATTATCTCTGCAGAGGAAGGACAAGGATATAGATTTGCCTTTAAGTTCAGTGAACTCAGCTGTCTCTCTTGAAAGGAAAACCGCAGAATTGTGGCAACTGCCCTGGAGGAAACTCTTTGAACCAGCCCTGGTTCCAGGAGTTCTGTCCTGGGTGCCAGTTTACTCAACTCTGTACTGCTGTAGATAGAAGCTCGGAGGCTTAGTGCGCTACTGAGCCGGAATCAACAGCCTCCCCTTTAACCAATTACAGCCTCAGAAGCCCAATGGAGAGGCAACGGGACTCAGAAGTGGCTCCACAGCAAAGGGTTTGGTTTTTATTTGTGTTGTTGTTTAAATGACTGGAGAAAGGAACCCTAGTGGCATCCAGTTAAGTGGTTGGCAGTTAAGCAGAAGGTAACGTGGGGAATCCTTCCAGGGACTGCATGGAGGACACCTGGTTTCTGCTTCAGAGAAGATTCCAGCCCAGGAGACTCTACGGGGCAATTCTCTTGGAGTCATTAAAAGTCAAAACTGATTCGTCTGCTCTAACAACAAATTGCTGGAGATTCCCAAGTCCTCCTTGTGGGTACATGTGGGCAACCAGGATCAGACACCGCTGGCATTGTCTTTTCCAGCTCCATACCTTTCCAGTCTATGGTCTCTCTGGCCCCTTCACCACTCTGCAGCCACAGGACCTTGTTAGAAGCAGACTTGGAGCATTCTGCTCCTGCCTACTCTTTCTTACAGCCACAAAGCACGCCTTCCTCCAGCCCTAGGGCCCTCGCTGTGTTCACAGGCTGCCCAGCCTGCACCCTACCTTCCCCGCCAGCCAATCCACAGCCACTTCCCTTTCTGTGTGGCACCATTTACCCTGCACTGTCATTTTTTTCCCAGCACACCCCAGGCTATTTCATGCCTCAATGCCTCTCCTCAGGCTGCTTCCACTGCTGACTGCCCTGCCCCTGATACCACTGGCCAATTGAGGCTGAGCTGTCAGGACTCACTCTGTCACCCCTCCCACCTGTAGCTTAACAATCCCCAAGTCAGTCTTAAAAACACTCTCTCCGTGGCTAGCCCATGAGACTGAGAACTCGCTGGGTGTGGGAATGGGTGTCACATACCTAGGGCAGTGCGTGCATAGAGTAGACATTCAGAAGTGTCTTCCTGGTTGAACCAATGCCTTTCATAAGAGGAAGAGGCAGCTGCAGCCTGAGCCCCAGGGCTAGGGGATGACGTCTGGAAAACGTGTTCATTCGTTCTTCCCTTCTCCATCTGTGTAACCCGTGTGCATGCATCAAACATCTTATGTGCCCAGGCCTGGCAGGAGGTGAAGAACAGTAGACCTGACAGCCTTGGACACTTCCCTGAAGTCCCTTGCAGTCTCCCTAGAAGTCCCAGGAGATGTCTTAGGAGCTGATCCTAGGTGAGATGATTCCAGAGTAGGCTCCCACCCAGGGCATGTTAATAATCCCAGGATGGCTTGACCCGCAGGATAAGCTGATCTCCCAGGGTGGGCTGACCTGGCCTCCTGCGTAGACTAGTTCCTAGAGCACACGACCCCCAGGGTTACTGACCTTCAGGATACACTGACTTCCACAGTGGGTTGACCTCAGGTTCGGTTGACCCCCCGCTAGGTTGACCCCAGGATAGGATGATGCTCAGGACAGCCTGACCCCTGGGATGCTGATTCTACACATCACATGGACTGACCTCCTCAGTGGTCTGGCCTGCAGAATGGGTTGATCCCCCAAGGCAAACTGGTCTCCAGATGAGCAGAACTCCAGGTGAAGCTAGCTTACTCCAGAATGCACTGTCCCCTTGGTGGGCTACCCCAGAATGTGCTGACTCCAAGGTGTGCTGACCCCCAAGTGAGCAGACCAAGAGGTGGGCAATGGCCTGTGAGCTGACCTCCTGGCTTAGCCCTGGAGGTCCTGCACCTTATTAGTCACAATCTCCTCCTCAGTTATCAGATCTGGATTTGAAAGACAAAAAGGTGATGCGGAACCTGAGGTGTTTTCCCACCTGTCAGAAGCTCACAGCATGTTCCCTGTTAGTGAGGTTTCAGGCTTTTGGCTGCATTACTGAGGCAGGTGAACCCTCTGCTTCCATGTCAGGATGACACCAGATCCCTGTGTCATGATGTCACTCCAGCATCTGTCCTTGGCTCCTATCTGCTTCTGAGCTGATTAGCCAAAACAATAGCAATGATACAGACACCTGGACACCCTTTCTGGCAACAGCAAAACCCAGGACAGGTATAGGTGTTCTCATCTGCTCAGCCAGGAAACTAGGACTCAGAGATGTAAATACACCTGCTCGAGGTCACACAGCTCACGTAGGTAGGCCTGTTTCAGCCTAGAAGTTGTCTTCTTTCCTCTTTCTCCTGCTCTGGGAGGTTGAACCATTCCCTAAACTTAGTCTTTACCAAGTCCAATGTACGTGGAGATATATAAATGCTGACTATAGTTATATGTACTGCGTATCTACTGTGTGCCTAGCACTGCTTAAAGTACTTTATCTTCATTCATTCCATCAGTAATCTTTATTGATTGCCAGGCTCTGTTGTAGGCTCTGGGAATGTGGCAGTGAGTAAGCTCAAGCTCACAATAAACCAAGAAGTGATTCACTAGGAAACAGACAAGGTGTTGAGAGATAAAGCAGAAGAGGAATGATCAGGAGAAGGCTTGTCTTTGATTTAATGACATCTGAGCAGACCCTTGAAGGAGGTAAAGAAAGGATCCTAGAACTATCTGGAAAATGGGAGTTCTGTGCAGAGGGAACTGATATCATGTGTAAAAGCCCTGAGGCAGGAATGTGCTTAATGTGTTCGTAGAACAGACAGAAGGCTGTTTGACGGGAGCAGAGGGAAGAGCAGAATGTAACAGTAAGTATTCATGGGGCCTGGTAGCCTGGTGGGAAAGAAGTTGTGCTGCCAACCCAAAGGCAAGTAGTTTGAATCCACTGGAGGCTCCACAAGAGAAGGATGGGCAGTCTCTTCCTGTAATATTTACAGCCTCTGAAAACCCACTGGAGAGTCCACTATGAGTTCATTCTGACTCAACAGCACATAACAAGAACGCTGAGCATAGCTACTTCATTATCTCCATCAAGGAAACCAAGATCCAGAAAAGGAATACTATCTTCCCCGAGTCACACAGTAGACATGTGCTCTGTGCTGGTGACTGGTTACATCTTTCATGGCCTAGAGCACTGGTTCCCTGTCTCAGCTGTGAATCCCAATCACATGGGGAGCGGGAAGGAATCCAGGTAAGGTTCTTGATTTTTGCAAGTTGCCCAGAGGATTCACAGGATCTTCCTGGCCCCCCACTAGGGTGAGCCATTCAGAGATGGCTGTTGAGTAAAGGAGCAAACACCCTAATTGTCCTTTGATCTTGGAGTGGCCAAGACCCTCTCTGAATCTCACTCTCTTTATCTGTGAAATAAGAAGGTTGAGTCTCATGAGTGAATTTCCCACTTGCTTTTTAATATTGGAATTCTCCATTTGGTCAGGTGGAGCCCATGCTGTGTATGAAACAAATCAAAGCCACTTTGTTTTAGCGGTTAGTTGGAGAGCCCAGGGTATGACCCCTGGGTAACTCCTGAAGGGTAACTTACCAAGTCCCTGGAGGACAGGAACACTTGGTTCTGCCTGTCTGTGCTTGGTCCTTTCTTCCCACATTAACATCCCCTGGGGTCGCCCTGTCAGTCGTGGTTGGAGAGCACAATACGCCTGACCCTCAATGCTGCTCTGAGTTCTGGAAAAATGACAGGAGAGCCTGGGCCCCTGGGCACACCCCAGGAGCCTCTCAGGTTGCTATGTCCCTCTACCTACTTCTTGTTCTCATTGTTTCCCAAACAGTAGGGATCTTCTTGGCCAGTTATTAGGGAAATGAAGTCACCGCTGACACCTTCCCCACCCCATGCCCCCCAAGACCCCCCTTCACACACACACACACACACACACACACACACACCTGCAGCCTTTTGCCAGAGCAGAGCTGTACTCCATGGAGACTGCAGGGACTGATTTTTCAGAAACAAATCACCAGCGCTTTTTCCCAGAGGCTCCCTTAAAGTCAAATGAGCCTTTCAGTTAACAG